GAACTCGACAAGAGATTTAAAGAAGTGTTCACAGAGGAGACAGAAGGGGCTCCAGAAAGACGGAGAGGTGGGGCACACCACCAGGTGCTGGACACAGTGCACACAACCAAGGAAGAAGTGAAGAGGCTTCTGAGTGAGCTAGATACCTCAAAGGCAATGGGGCCGGATAACATCTCTCCATGGGTCCTAAGAGAGGGAGCACAGGCGTTATGTGTACCCCTAACAACAATATTCAATACATCTATCGAAACAGGGAGATTGCCTGAGGCATGGAAGACAGCAAATGTAGTCCCAATCTTTAAAAAAGGAGACAGACATGAAGCACTAAACTACAGACCAGTGTCACTGACATGTATAGTATGCAAAGTCATGGAGAAGATTATCAGGAGAAGAGTGGTGGAACACCTAGAAAGGAATGATCTCATCAACAGCAGCCAACATGGTTTCAGGATGAGAAATTCTGTCACAAACCTACTGGAGTTCTATGACATGGTGACAGCAGTAAGACAAGAGAGAGAGGGGTGGGTGGATTGCATTTTCTTGGACTGCAAGAAGGCGTTTGACACAGTTCCACACAAGAGGTTAGTGCAAAAACTGGAGGACCAAGCAGGGATAACAGGGAAGGCACTACAATGGATCAGGGAATACTTGTCAGGAAGACAGCAGCGAGTCATGGTACGTGGCGAGGTGTCAGAGTGGGCACCTGTGACCAGCGGGGTCCCACAGGGGTCAGTCCTAGGACCAGTGCTGTTTCTGGTATTTGTGAACGACATGACGGAAGGAATAGACTCCGAAGTGTCCCTGTTTGCAGATGACGTGAAGTTGATGAGAAGATTTCATTCGATAGAAGACTAGGCAGAACTACAAAGGGATCTGGACAGGTTGCAGACCTGGTCCAGCAATTGGCTCCTAGAGTTCAACCCCACCAAGTGCAAAGTCATGAAGATTGGGGAAAGGCAAAGAAGTCAGCAGACGGAGTACAGTCTATGGGGCCAGAGACTACAAACCTCACTCAAGAAAAAAGATCTTGGGGTGAGTATAACACCAGGCACATCTCCTGAAGCGCACATCAACCAAATAACGGCTGCAGCATATGGGCGCCTAGCAAACCTCAGAACAGCATTCCGACATCTTAATAAGGAATCGTTCAGGACCCTGTACACCGTGTACGTTAGGCCCATATTGGAGTATGCGGCACCAGTTTGGGACCCAGACCTAGCCAAGCACGTAAAGAAACTAGAGAAAGTGCAAAGGTTTGCAATAAGACTAGTCCCAGAGCTAAGAGGTATGTCCTACGAGGAGAGGTTAAGGGAAATCAACCTGACGACACTGGAGGACAGGAGAGATAGGGGGGACATGATAACGACATACAAAATACTGAGAGGAATTGACAAGGTGAACAAAGACAAGATGTTCCAGAGATGGGACACAGCAACAAGGGGACACAGTTGGAAGTTGAAGACACAGATGAATCACAGGGATGTTAGGAAGTATTTCTTCAGCCACAGAGTAGTCAGTAAGTGGAATAGTTTGGGAAGCGATGTAGTGGAGGCAGGATCCATACATAGCTTTAAGCAGAGGTATAATAAAGCTCACGGTTCAGGGGGAGTGACCTAGTAGCGACCAGTGAAGAGGCGGGGCCAGGAGCTTGGACTCGACACCTGCAACCTCAACTAGGTGAGTACAACTAGGTGAGTACATGCACACATGCAGCAGTATGCAGCACCAGTTTGGAACCCACACCTGGTCAAGCACGTCAAGAAGTTAGAGAAAGTACAAAGGCTTGCAACAAGGCTAGTCCCAGAGCTCAGGGGAATGTCGTACGATGAAAGGTTGAGGGAAATCGGACTGACGACACTGGAGGACAGAAGGGTCAGGGGAGACATGATAACAACATACAAGATACTGCGTGGAATAGATAAGGTGGACAGAGACAAGATGTTCCAGAGATGGGACACAGAAACAATGGGTCACAGTTGGAAGCTGAAGACTCAGACGAGTCACAGGGACGTTAGGAAGTACTTCTTCAGTCATAGAGTTGTCAGGCCTTCAGCCAGAGATCAGTGTTTGTGTATATTTCGCCTGCTCTCGCGAATTCCTTGCATTGTTAAATTTCTAGTAAGGCTGATGCATGCAGGGGATGAGATGAAAAGCTGTAAGCCTTGGATCAACGTCTAGCGCAATCTGGACGCCAAGGTATTGGTCCAGTGTGGGTAGATTGGTAAAGCACTGCGTACCTTGTCCTAAGGTTCGTAGGTTCGAGCCTCCTTCAGCCAGAGATCAGTGTATATATATATATATATAATATATATATATATATATATATATATATATATACATCAAAATTCTGTTTCACCTGAGTAGATATAACGTGATGTATGATGATTATGGACCTGTTATCAATCATTACACTTCCTTTACAATATATTCGGTCACCTTCTCAAATAATTTTTATGGTTTTATAATATACTGGCTATGATATTCGAACGGTAATTAATTCAAATATGCACTCATAAATCTACTTATATATACAGATACACAGAGTGTACCAGCGATTAACTTTGCCAACTAATGACCATCGTCGTTCAAGCATTCACTAATTCATTCATGAAATATAATCGTCACGTTCTCAAATCACTATGTCTGGTTGCATGATTTATTTCTGGCCCAGGTAGAGTATCGAGGAATTTTTTTCCTCAACTTATTTGGGTGTAAGCGACTTGTGCCGCTAATGACCTTGCATGTCACTTACACTTCATAAATTATGAAAATATCGTACGCTCAGTTCGCTATGTTGATGAATGTTGTCAAAAAGGAAAACTTTTTCCTCTGATGGGTGAAGTCGACGATTCTATCGTTGATTATTAACCATGGAGTTATACGAACATCCTCCCCCGAAACAAAAGTCGTTTGTGATGAATTTCCAATAATGAACTCCTGTCAGGCGGACTAAACATTCGGGATGTAATTAACTGTTAGGTGAACAGGAACAACCAGCGCAAAGAAAACAGGGGATTACGTTGCTCCTCCAGTCGTAGACTAATAAACACCATCAACTTACAGTAGAAGTGAACATGAACACACGAAAAAACAGGGGAACGGTTCCGCTTCATGCAGTTAGGAAAAGTAAACTTCCTCTGCAAAGACCATCCACAACCCCCCAGAAGAGGGAGAACATTCCCATCCTCTTCAATTTGCGGCAAATCCATTCCAAACTACCCTTTCTGCACAGGACCATCCCCAACCCTCCTTCAGAGTGCAGGCAGGACCATCCCCACTCCTCCTTCAGAGTGCAGGCAAGACCATCCCCACTCCTTCAGAGTGCATGCAGGACCATCCCCACTCCTCCTTCAGAGTACAGGCAGGACCATCCCCACTCCTCCTTCAGAGTGCATGCAGGACCATCCCCACTCCTCCTTCAGAGTGCAGGCAGGACCACCCCATCCCTCCTTCGGAGTGCAGGCAGGACCATCCCCATCCCTCCTTCGGAGTGCAGGCAGGACCATCCCCACTCCTTCAGAGTGCAGGCAGGACCATCCCCATCCTCCTTCAGAGTGCAGGCAGGACCATCCCCACTCCTCCTTCAGAGTGCAGGCAGGACCATCCCCACTCCTCCTTCAGAGTGCAGGCAGGACCATCCCCATCCCTCCTTCAGAGTGCAGGCAGGACCATCCCCATCCCTCCTTCAGAGTGCAGGCAGGACCATCCCCACTCCTCCTTCAGGGTGCAGGCAGGACCATCCCCACCCCAAAAACTCCTCCTTCAAGTGCAGGCAGGACCATCCCCATCCCTCCTTCAGAGTACAGGCAGGACCATGCCCATCCCTCCTTCAGAGTGCAGGCAGGACCATCCCCATCCCTCCTTCAGAGTGCAGGCAGGACCATCCCCACTCCTTCAGAGTGCAGGCAGGACCATCCCACTCCTTCAGAGTGCAGGCAGGACCATCCCCACTCCCCCTTCAGAGTGCAGGCAGGACCACCCCCACTCCTCCTTCAGAGTGCAGGCAGGACCATCCCCACTCCTCCTTCAGAGTGCAGGCAGGGCCATACCCATCCCTATTTCAGAGTGCAGGTCAGGATCATCCCCATCCCTCCTTCAGAGTGCAGGCAGGACCATACCCACTCCTCCTTCAGAGTGCAGGCAGGACCATCCCCACTCCTCCTTCAGAGTGCAGGCAGGAGCATGCCCACTCCTTCAGAGTGCAGGCAGGATCATCCCCATCCTTCCTTCAGAGTGCAGGCAGGACGATCCCCATCCCTCCTTCAGAGTGCAGGCAGGACCATCCCCACTCCTCCTTCAGAGTGCAGGCAGGATCATCCCCATCCCTCCTTCAGAGTACAGGCAGGACCATCCCCACTCGTCCTTCAGAGTGCAGGCAGGACCATCCCCATCCCTCCTTCAGAGTGCAGGCAGGATCATCCGCACTCCTCCTTCAGAGTGCAGGCAGGACCATCCCCACCTCCTTCAGAGTGCAGGCAGGACCATCCCCTCCTCCTCGATCAGGAGGCTCCACTCCTCTTCACAGGCAGGCAGGACCATCCCCACTCCTGCTTCAGAGTGCAGGCAGGACCATCCCCACTCCTCCTTCAGAGTTCAGGTAGTGCATATCCCATCACCAGAGCTCAAGACCGGCTAATTGGTTTCCTCTGAATCCCTTTATAATCCGTATTCATAATTTTGTTCCAGATTTACAGCGTGAGCCAAAAGTTAAGTTTTCTATGAATAGACAGGAATAGAAAACGCTCTTCTTCACCTACATTTCCACTGGTGAGTCCCTCAAGGGAGGTTCCTCGACGCTGGTGAGGGGCTCTTGATCTAGGGAACTGGATCTGTGCTCCAGTTCCCTGAATTGAGCCTGAATACCTTCCATCCCCCCTCCCCAGGTGCTATATAATCCTACTGGTTTAGCGCTCCCCATTTTTATAATAATAATAATAATAATAATAATAATAATAATAATAATAATAATAATAATAATCCTCTGGTGAGCTGATCCACTCAGATATTCAGAATGAGTTGAGATATTGCAACCAATATAACCATGGATAGTGCGCTGAGAGAACAGTAATGATATATTCAAATTATTTAAGTACACTTGTATTTGAAGTGAGTTCAGGATCCGCCCATGAGTGGGTGAAGAAGACAGTGGGTCGCACCGTTAGACATGACCTGCACATCTCCGGAAGTGAAAGTTATCAAAAGTTACAAAATTACAATCAATATTGTATTCGATTGTAATTACACAAAACTGCATATTCTGATTAGAAACTCTGGGGAGGATTACTAAGCGATTTTACGGATTTTGTTATGGCCTCTGTTCGGCGGTATATCTTGAGAAGTTGTAATGATTAAGGTGAGAGGATTCATTAAGTTTAGAAACAGGTGGGATGTTTGAAGCAAAGGTTAACCTACGTGTTGTTAATCTGGACTAAATTTGTAAACCCGTAACGAATCACTGATTAATTACGAACGAAACTCAATGAAAATAGCGAAATGAACTGGTATGAGTAGGAAAAGCGATGTCCACAGTGAGAAAGGAACGAGTGAGCGACTCAGTTACCAGGAACCAGTTAGGTAGTGCGGTGGGGCGACTAGACTCGCTCTCTCCTCGGCTCACAGAGAAAGTATAAACCCCGGATAATATAGTGGCCCTTTATCTTGAAGCGTTTGAGGATATTTATCTGCCTTCACCCCCACATAAATAAAAATCGAGGACTTACTTGTGTAGAGAGGATGAGGATCTTCAGAGAGCTTCCACCACTACACGATCTAGGTGAACATCCTTACGTCGGCAATTCAGGTCAGTCCATATAGAATCCCGTTTATCTTATTCTTTTTCCTTTACATATGGCAGCTGTTTAACCCCGAGTATATAGTGGAGTTATAAACTGTATCGGACACATATTTCCTTTGGCTTTTGTTAACGACTCCACTGTCATAAGGCTTATAACCCAGTTGTTAGGTCTATATTGGTTATAAATCTGTGTGGATGGTGTTTTGTATGGCCCTATTCCACCCACAGGATGGGTATGGGGTGCATAATAGATATTAAATTAATTATTGCATAGGTGCAGTTGCATACATGACATCTTTCCACATACTTTGTGGTGTAGATGTAATTAGAAACTACGCAGCCCTCTCTAACATATGGGTGTATTATTATGGGAGAAGTTAAGTGGCATAATTGTGTAATAGTGTAGTGCAGCTTCTTTGTCAGTGTTAGTGTCAAAGGTGTAGTGATGCCGGAGGCGTTAGTTGGCCTATATATGGTGTCAGTTTATGTTTGAGTGTTGTAGAGCTTTCACGTGAAGCAGGACAAAAATATTAGCTAAAAATCTCTAACAATAAGAGTACTATACCACATCATTGCGTAACTAAAGTAATAATTCCTGACACTCCTGCCAGTTACCCTCAATCTTTACCGTCAACCAGACTCTCCCTTTCCTTGCCTCTCCCCTTTCAACACGCTCTTTAATTCTTCCTGCCTGTTCCTCGTCACCTGCCAGTTCAGTCATGCTCCTCTTCCCCTATTCTGAATGCCTTTCACTTCCTCCAGCAGGTGGCTTCTGGTCATCTGATTTCAAAAGAGCCTGATTATCTGGTAGTTTTATATTTCTTAGTGTTATTATTCCATATCTATATTTTTCTTCGATTATGACTTATTCAGATTTTAACACTCCAACAGATTAGACAGCCTCAACAAAAATTACAGAAGAAAAAAGACTGATTTGCAGATGTGACAGCCTTTTCTAAATTGTATGCCTGGCAAAACTCCAGCAAGGCAGCAGAAGCAACAGTATAACGGCCACACCTAAGAAAACAACAATGTGGGCTCCATTTTATCAAGCAATGTCACTCGACGGCAACACGGATCTGGGTGCGGTGCGGCGTTTGTGACAGCAACAGAAGGAAAGTTTGTGAGGTTTGGAATTAAGCGAGAATGAAGTCACGTGGCTGGTATGCTGTCTTTCTGATATTGCCTGTTTTCATCATTGCTCTCAAGGGCAACTTAGCTACTACCTCCAATACCACCTTGGAGAGGGACATAAATCTTCCTCTCGAAGCGGGAAAGCCTGCAAAAAACATATCTGGGACAAACGGCGGAAATGATGCTATCGTTCCTGTTACCCGTGCATGCGAGTTAGATGAGAGTACAGAGCACCATGTGTTCTTGGCGAACAGTAGTGGAGATTCAGAAAAACTTCATTATTCTCATGATGGCGGACCTCAAAACAAGGTCTCCAGGGCAGCAGAACTACCAACATTACTTGAAGAGGACCTTGCACCCTCAAGCAGCTCCTCCCAGCCGCACCTCGAAGACCATAACATGAAAAGGTCACGAACAGAGGGCACCGACCAGTCATTTGGGAGTCATCCTCTGCCGCCCCTGGAAGCCTTCACTCCTGTCGAAGGAGCTCGGTGGGTCGGGTACTTTCACAATGAGGCGGTAGCAGCGGTTCTGCAGACTGAGAACGGCACTATGGTTCACTGTGTGGTTCAGGAAGTCATGTAAGTATCAGTACTTCCTTCTGCGGGGAGCATTCCTTGCTGTTGTCTGTTCCAGTGTTTAAATAGGGAACTTGCATTTCAAATAGTTCAAAAGATAAACATGAAGTACCTTGTGTAATGTTTATAAATACTCGAGTTTACACGTTTCGCACGCGATGAGTCGTCCTACTTCAGCTTATTTGAAAGCCATGTTCTAGCAATGTTTTCAGTTAAATTATAATGTTTATTGTTACTGTTACGAAACATACACAGAGCGAAGTTGGCAAAACACTGCATGGCAAACTTTTAAATTTATCAGATGACTATTTTTTTTAATATCCATGCGCAAGCATATTGCAAAGGAGTTATTCGAAGGTGGTAAAAATACTTTTAGGGAAGAAACTTATATTACGACGTTTTACCCCACTGGGGGGGGGGGGGAAGACTTCATCAAGTATATGAAATACATAAAACCACTGGTATATAAATTTAGCAGAGTTTAAGTACCGTCGTGACAAGTGAGGTCAGGTACTTTATCCGATTTGTTGAATTAAACCCAATAACAATTGATTTCCCAGGCGCTATATGACATTTCGGGATTAGCGCTTATTATGATTGTAATTAATAATTATTTGTAGTAATAAAAATCCCCAACAGCCAGAACCGTGAGCAGTGCGCAGCCCGACAGTACCTGGGCAGTGTGATGCCCCTGGTGCCCTTGCCCCTGCATACCATGGTCCACCTCATCACTCTCTGCGGTGTTCTCAACAGCCAAACTACTACCACGGAGGACCTCGCCTCCACACCAGGTATGCTACCCTCCCACACCTACACACCAGCAATGATGCCACGTCAATATTTTCAGAGGTATTCTTACAACTGCAGAATGAGGTTTCTGTCCCTGCTGATTGTGACCAGATCTACCAGACTTCATTACCTTGTAACTTGTTCAGCTCTCAAAACTTTGGGGTCCAGTCCCTTTACCCCTTGTGTACCTCTGTAATACTTTGACTACCGCCCACGGGATGGGTATGGGGTGCATTATAAGGATATTAAACTAACTAAACTAACTGTCCCTGCTTGGACCATTATCAAACTCAATGTTGATTATTTGTAAATTGTTCCAGTCGCGGTACTGACTTTTCTTTTTATTCTTCATTGTCCCCTTTAAGGATGTATGGTAACCTGATGCCGGTTAAGGGCTCTTGAACCGAGGAATTGTAACTACTCTCTCATAATGTGGCACAGATCTGTCCTAAGATGACTTGTTAATGGTGCCGGCACTCTGGCCAGGGTGCCGCATAAAGGCACTTGAGGGTGCGATAGACACCACTGCCAGTCTTCGTTGTGGCTTGTATTTTTTAAGGTTGTTTTCAGCTTTTTTGTTGTTGCTGACAAGCTAAGGGACGTTATCCTATCTATTTTCTGCTAGGTAAACTTGCACAGCGGTTGTAAGGCTGTATGTCCCTTCCTGCCTGGGACCTTTCGATTGTGAGCCTGGTATTCTCTTACTACTAAACTACAGCTTTCTGTTGCTTTCAGATGTGAACTTGTGGTGGATGGGTCCGCTGACAGCCTTGCAGGGCATCTTGCCAGGGACGCTGTGGTGTGGTAAGCGGGATCAGGCCACCTATTACCACCAGCTGGGGCAGAGGGCCCAGCTGGACGCCTGTTGTCGCGCCCATGACCATTGCCCCGTCAAACTTCTGCCCCTACAAACCCGCTACGGCCTCACCAACTTCGGCTTTAGCACCAGGTGAGTGGAAAGTAGTCGAAATAGGCGATACGTTCGTTAGGAAGAGTCTAGCGTGTCCTGAGACTGGTGTTTGGCAGATAATGACCCACTCATTGGTAGCACATTCACTGGCATACCTCAGCCAAGTTTTTCTCTCCATTTACAAAAAGATCACTACATAGACTAAGTTCAGAGGGAATTTTTATCAATAGGAATAGAAAAAAATAGCGTGTAGTGAATGAGGGGATAGATCGAGGGGTATTTGAAGTTCTCACGTCGAGTAGATGTTTAGGATTACTTAAATTATGTTATCGCTTCTGGCAACATAGACGTTGATTGAATGACGAGAAAGTTAACTTTTTTCACCGTAAACTGAGTAGGAGACAGTTGTGGTAAAAAAAATCTTTGCATAAAAAAAGGATAATGGAAGAAATGTGGAAATGAGAGCTTGGTCATGTTCTTCAGTGTTCTCATCCTTTAAATAGTTTAATAATAAGTGTTCAAACCTTAACAATTATTGTCCTTTTCTACAGTTTAAAATGCCATGATTACCAAGTGTTGGTGTCTGCTTAAAATATAATGTGACTCCCCCTCAGGTCACACTGTCCCTCTTATGTAGATCACACTGCTGCTCTCCCTCTTAGGTTACCCTGCATCTCTCAGGTCACTGCTTCTGTCCATCACAGGTCACACTGTAGCTGCGAACTAGAGTTCTTCCGGTGTCTGAAGGCCGTCAAGGATCCCGCTGGCCACCACCATCGGTCAGCTCTACTTCAACGTCTTAAAGATGGAGTGTTTAAACACGGTGTCCAATAGTAACCCAGCGTCTTCACCAGCACCTCGCTCACAGCTGTACACAATACCAGAAGAGAGTCACGGAGAAGAAGTAGAACGGCAGCCACAGCCGCAGACTCGACAACATGGACCCTCTGGAACGGAAAACCAGGCGGTGCAGGAGGGAGTGCCTAAAACAACTCCTCGCCTGGAGTGCTCCATCAGGGACAGGGAGGGACAGTGTCGCATGTGGCATATGAACCCCAGAGGCTTCACAGAACGCTATGTTACACAGCCCTTGAATCTCCGGTTTTGAGGGATTATTGTTGGATAATATTAAGCAAGACTATGCATTATAAATGACAAAATGGAAAACGAATTTCAAATTTAATGTCCGTGCTCGACCCTTATCACGGTCCAAAAATTATTTATATTTTTTATAAGTATTCAGATAATATTTTAGTATTTACTCGGATCACTAATCTCTCAATTATTTTTTATCGTAAATAGAAGTATTCAAAGAAGTGTTAAAAGATCTGAATCTCTTTAAGGTGGTTCAGATTATATAGCATCTTAAATTATGATTTCTTCACATAGCCGCAGCTGCTGCTCCTTGTTGACGTATACAATTTTCTTCGTTCTCAGTGTTTTTAATGTGTAACTGAGTATTAGAGGTTAATAACGGTTTTTATTCATAGTCTCCGTAACACACATTAACAATTTCATTAATCTGTGAATAAGAGAAACTAACGAGTCGAGTTCAAATATATATATTCTCCGAATTCAACATTAACTTACATCTATGAGAAGAACGATGCTATATTTCTAATGCTGTTAATTTGTTTCGAGTACGTGGTATATTTTAGGAAGATTTTTAAATGTTATTTTGAATTAGTATATTTTTATATTCTAACTGTTGATGTGCTCATTGTCTGGATGACAGCTGGATGTATGGTATTCCACAGCCTCGGCCTGACACATTCTCAAATTCAGTGTTTGCACTGCACAAGCGAATCTTTCACTTTTCTTGCACATAGAATTTTCTCAGATGATTATTGACCTTTACGTGGAATGAGTGGATAGGTAAACAAAATTTCATTCAATCCTTTTTTTTTTTTTAGGCACTGTCTGTATTCAATATTCGTTAAAACTTGTACGGTATATCAGAGTACATTACGTGATGTGTGTAAATACGTAATTGAGTTTAAGGGGGTTTAAGTTTAAGCTCCTAGACCTGCCTCTACTTAATTTCGTTTGATCTGGTTGTTTGGTATGGTTTTTAAAGCTGTGGATAGTTGTCAGCGTGTCACTATATAGTCTATACCTCGTCACTGTTGCTGTGATGCTAGTCAATGTATCTTCACATCTCCACCTTGGTGTAGTTACCATCTCCTCGTACAGACTCATACAGCGTTATCGACATTTTTTTGCCAGCCTTTATTACTGAGGCTCAGTTCTTGGTCTTCACACCTTTCCTGTCTAGTTCTAGCGCCCATCTTGTAGCAGACAAGCATTCACTTCTTTCTCATCAGCTATGGGCTGCACTGCAGCGCTGTATAGCCCTTGTGGCTTAGCGCTTCTTTTTGATTATAATAATATGGGGTGCACTCCGGCACACTCAGTTACTATAACATGATATAGAACTCTCTGAACACTTCACTAAGTCTTCAATGCTGTTCTTGGGTTCTTGAGAGTCTTAAACTCCGGCGATGCTCCCATGATGAAATAATCTTTTTTATTTGTATATGCTAATAGTATTATGCTATGTAGGTGTACCCACCTACATAGCATAATGCTATGTAGGTGGGTACAAAATTACCTGTAGTAAATAAAAATATTATTAAGAAGCACATCTTGTCTGACGCTCAGCAGACGGAGGATCAAGCGTTGAATGACCCGCATGGGTTTAGCGCTTAACACTAATTAAAACAAACGTCTATATATGCTACTTCCCCTAGTTTGTACTCCGTCTCTGGTCTTCTCTTCTTCCCACTTGCTGGAGTGGCTTTTCATGATGAGTTATGCCTGTGTGCTTCTGTTAAAATAATCATGGACTCGCCTTGTTATAATTAATATTTTTTTTTATTTTAAACCAACAAATTCTAAAATATTTCCCTTGGCTTAAACCACAAAGAATGGCGTTTTTTTTTTTTTAGTTTATTTTTTTTTTTACACGTCAGACCGTAGTGGGTTTAGCGCTTTTTTTTTATAATTTACATTATCAAACTCACCATTGGAGATATTTATATTTTCATTGTTAATGTGTACGAAAGATGAATAAATAAAGAATAAATGGTTGCAAGTACTTACTCAGCCTTGTTAGTGTTATACAAGGGTAACAACACTGTTGTACATGTGTATAGTCTGCAACACCAGTAACAATTTAGTAACGTGTTGCAACCTGTACATACCTTCCAATTTACGACAGCTGACGCTCTCACTGGCTGTCGTATTTTTCAGATTAAAGATTAATGCAAGGCCCGTAATGCTATGCATATAAGTGGCTTTGGCATGCTGCTCATACCTGTATTTTTTTGTACCTCTGTATGTATGCTAAAATTCATAAATAAATAAAAAAAACAATTGTCAATTGCCATCAAAGATTTAAGTTATACCATGAATTAAGGGAAGATCCTGGAATTTCCCTTACGAAACAAAGCAGATGCGAGAGTAATTATGAATAAGGTAGATTATAGTGGAAAAATGAACATGTTATTAAAAGACAGGAGTACTTACGTGCCCCTTAACGGAAATATTGGAGGAGGGTATTTTTGCCTGACTTTTTTGAAGACTTGGTGGAAATCTGGGTCACGCCGGGTAGGATTAGTAACAGTAATGAGAGGGAATCGCATTCCAAGGCTGTGTAGATTAAAGTATCTCTTACTAACACCTCCACCCCCCCCCCCAAGGAGGAAAGAGAACAACTGCAGTGGGTCAACTGGTCCAAGCTAGAACAGGAAAGATGTATAATCCCTATGGGTTTAGCACTTGCCACAGATAAAAATAGAAAAGGAAAGGAAACAAGAAAGAGGAAAATCAAAGGGTATACAGAAGACAGGTTAAGAGGAGAGGTGTAGGTTGGGTGAAGCTACGAGTGTACTGCAGCGCTGTATAACCCTTGTGGTTTAGAGCTTCTTTTTTATTATAATAATAATATGAGTGTACTCCTCTTCAAAGGGGTCTCCTTGGCGCGGTGAAGAGGCTCTTGGTCTGAGGAATTAGACCTTTTGATCTCCTTCCTCAGACCGAACCTAATTTCCCCCCTTCCCTATCCCATCCTCCCCATCCCCACTTTTTCCCATTTTCCCTTCCTCTCCAACCCTCCCCTATTCCCTTCCTATTTTCAGCCTTTGGGATTCTTCCCACAGGCACTCTAGTTCCTAGCCAGGGTGAAGGGTGACAGGATCCATCCCATTCCGTTGTGTCCTTGGCGGTGATGTAGTTTGCCGTGGAATCTGGATCACCTAGGAGCCATTCCTCCATGTTCTCCCCATTTTTTTTTCTAGGAAAGAAAGAAGTGACATAACCATGAGCCCAAATCCATGAACCTGCTCCCCCAGGGCACCTTACTGATACCACACCCTGTTCCGACCCTGCCTCGTTATTTGACTGCTCTTTGGACATTTCTAATGCTCTTGTACCTCTCGCTGGTGCCATTTCGTCACCCACTTCAGGTACTTGGGTTCCGACTGACTCTTTTGATATGTCTGACCTCCGCTCTTCTTTGACTATGCTTCCGGCTTCTCTCTCTACGGTGCGGCAATTTTCGGATCTCCCGCCCGTCCCATGTTGGACCAACTACGGTCCCACACCTAAACGCCCAAGACCATTACCTGATGATACTTCTTCGCTTCCTTCTCATTCTACTCGGACAAGACCGTCATGTAACGCACTCTCTTCACACGTTATGTTTCAAAATACACAGTGGAGTAAGTTTTTTACTCTATGACCGACTTCCTCTACTGCCTCTCTTTCCGACCATAGTATTGGCAAGGCGCTCCTATAACATGTTGGTAGATAAAGATCCTTTCATGCTCTCAAGAGCAGTGCATGCTTCATCAGTCCAGAATGCCAACCAACCTCACGATCTTTCTCTCCAAAGAATAACACCAAGGACTCCACAACTCAACTTGTCTACCCAGCAGGATGCCGGTGTATCATCAACCCTCCCTCACCACCGCCCAGGGAATATCAACAACAAACATATTGCTGCAACTATTGAAAAACATCATTCCCTCAATTCTTGTAATGGTACTGTCATTCTCCCCCATACCATTACTCAACAGAATTTCCAGACATGTGGCGATGACATTCTGGAACAGCTTGAACTCCAAGACCTTCCAATCCTCAAAGTAGACACTCATGTCCTCTCTGCCCGCAGGCAGAGACGATACCTTTGCAATGTAGCTCTCTTAACTTTTGACTGCTGTGAGCTTCTGTTCTCTGTATATATTGCAGGACACTTTACAAGTTCGAAAAGTGATCCCTACACCGCAACAGGTAGAAATTGCTGGTGTTTTGGTCATCCAGCTAAATATTGCAGGTCCATGGCCAAATGCCCAGTCTGTGGTGCCGATGACCATACCAATACGTCTTGTAGTCTACCTCCCTCTTGCCTTAATTGTCATGAGGCTCACCCATCTTGCTTTTGCCATTGCCAAATTTACTTAAATGAACGTGAAATCCGTTGTTTCCAAGAGGCATGGCTTAGTGCTTCTTTTTGATTATAATTATAATAATTCCAAGAGGCAGAAGGCCTCCCATATAATATGACAGTCTGTCATCTACGCCTCCAAGGGAGACTTCCTCGTATTTCTTATTTTCGAGTTACTAAACGTCCCCCCTCCTCTGGGGGCCCAACTTCTGCAGCCTGCTCTGTGGTCACCCCTTCCACAGTCACCCCTGCCTCTAATTCTTTTGCTGTTCTGGATTCAGAGGTCCCTACCTCGGCCCCTCATTCTGTTCTCACCTCTTCCTCTTCTCACTCACAAGTGTCCGTGTCTTCAAGACTTCGTACAACACTTCCTCCCCATCACCCCTCTCCTTCTCCGAAGTCCAAAACATCTCCATTGTTAAAATCTTCTTTAACCCCTCCTTCCCTTCTGCAACCCGCATATTTTTCCTTCTGTCTCTGTACCCGGTTCTTCACCTCTAACTGGCTGTTACGAGTGTGGTGGTTCATCCTCCTCCTCATACAGTACCTTCTTCCCCTGTCCCCTCCCAAGCTTCTTCTGTAGTTCCCTCTACTCTTTCGTCCATCCCTACTTTGGTACAGTCCATCGTCACCCCGATCTTTACTCACCCTCCTTCTTCCATCTCCAATATTGTACCACATACAACGTCCTTGCTCTCTGAAACACTTGAAGCTATATCAGAATATATTGAGGAGACTAGACCACTGATGGACATTGATCCACCTCCAGTTTCTCTTCACTCTTCTCCGTCTGCACAACTCCTATCTGCCAGCGTCCCAATCCTTTCCTGCTTAAAAGTTTTCTGCTGCCTCCACATGTGGGCTTTTATAACCCTACTAGTCTGTAGATACCTCTACCTTCAGGTTCCTTGTATCTTTCTCTTTGCAAATCATGGCTTATTTACAATGGAATATCTGCGGCCTCAGAGGTAACCGGGGTGAGCTTCAGGTGTTGCTCTTATAGTTTTCCCCTGCTTGTGTTTGTTTACAAGAACCCTAATTAAGCTCCGCTGTTATCCATCCTATCTCGGTCTATGATATATTATATTCATCGGATCCTTTGCCGACGGAACTTTTAATGAAAGTGCACTTCTTATAAGCACTGGTATTCCATACTGTCAGCTCTTTGTTCATACTTCGCTGCATTACACTGCAACCCATATCCACTTGAATAAGTGGTATACAATCTGTTTGTATCTCTCTCCTTCTCGGGCATTATCTATCCCAGATGTTGCATTTCTGGTTTCTTTCTTACCACCACCACTTCTGTTACTTGGCGATTTTAATGCCCACCATTTCCTCTGGGGGCGGGGTCTCACTGTGACTCCTGCGGCATTCAGTTGGAGGCTTTTCTCGCCTCTCTTCCCCTCCATGTTTTAAATATGGGTACTCCCACCCATTCTGATCCTCATACTTATTCTCTCTCTCTTGCATCAATCACTCGGTCTGCTCTTTTTCAACTGTACTAGACTTCACCTGGTCTGTCCTCCCCGACTTGCATGACATGACATGAGATCATTATCCATTATTATTATTATAATAAAAAAGAAGCGCTAAACCACAAGGGCTATACAGCGCTGCGAGATCGTTATCCAGTCATCCTTACTTCTCCTTCGTATTCACCACCTCCTCGTAGCCCATTCTGGCAATTTGACTGAGCAAATTGGGACCTTTACTCGCATCTAACTGCTTTTAGTGAGATTCCTTCTCGTTCTCCACTGATGAGCTTTTACACATCTTCTCGACCTCAGTTTTAACCGCAGCTTCACATTCGATACCCCAAACCTCGGGCAGGCATTCTCAGAAGTGCATGCCTTGGTGGTCTCCTTCTTGTGCTCGGGCAGTACGTTTGAAACGCGCTGCGTGGGGCAGGTACCGGTGTAATAGAACCACAGAGAGATTCCTTGATTTTAAGCAGAAGAGAGCGGTCGCTCGCCATGTCATCCGTGTCACTAAACGCACTTGCTGGCGGAATTATGTTTCTACTATCACTTCTGCTTCCTCTATGAATGCAGTCTGGAAAAAAGTACGAAAGCTGAATGGTAAATACTCTCCCGACCCGGCTCCTGTTCTTCGGGTTACCAGTGTTGATATCGCAGACCCTCTTGACGTTGCCACCGAAATTGGTAATCATCTTGTCCGTATCTCTCAGGGGCTTCACCTGTGCCCCTCGTTTCGTTCTTCAAAGTCTGCCAGAGGGTTAGAGCCCTTAAACTTTTCTTCTTTTAGAGAAGAATCTTATAATGTGCCTTTTACACTTCTGGAACTGGAGGCAACACTCTCAGTTTGCCGATCATCGGCAGCTGGGCCTGTCAGCATTCATATTCGTATGCTACAGCATTTACATCAGTCAGCCCTTGCAGTCCTCTTACGACTCTTTAATCTTCTTTGGTCACAAGGAATTCTTCCCAGCTGTGGATATTTGCCATTGTTCTCCCTTTCCGCAAACCGGGTACTACAGGACATGATGCCTCCCACTATCGTCTCATTGCTCTTACCAGTGCAGTTTGCAAGGTGATGGAACGTCTGATAAATAGACGTTTGATGTGGTATTTAGAGACACACAACAGTCTCTCCACTAGTCAATATGGCTTTCGTAAGGGCCGTTCTACCAATGACCATTTACTATGTGTAGATACGTATGTCCGTAATGCCTTTGACAATAACTACTCAGTTATAGCCATCTTTTTTGACCTTGAGAAGGCATATGACACAACTTGGAGGTATAATATCTTGGCCCAGGCCCACTCCTTAGGCCTCCGAGGCAATCTACCATTTTTCCTTAAGAACTTCTTAGCTGAAAGACATTTCCGTGTTCTGGTTGATAATATGCTTTTCCCGGACTTCGTCCAAGCTGAAGGTGTCCCCTAGGGGCTGTATTCTGAGCACAGCACTTCTTGCTACAAATGATCTGGCCTCTGTTCTTCCATCCAAAATTTGGTCATCGCTCTGTGTTGATGACTTTGCTAAAGCTTGTGCAGGCACTGACTGTCATCTTATTGCAGTTTCTCTCCAGCATGCGGTCAACCATGTTTCCACTTGGGCTACCACTCATGGGTTTAAATTTTCTAGTATTAAAATTCGCCAAATTACTTTCACTAGACGTTCTGTCGTCCCTGATCATCCAATGTACCTATATGGCTCGCGTATCCCTGAAAGTGATACGGTAAAGTTTCTCGGCCTTCTGTTTGACCGTAGGTTATCCTGGAAACCTCACATTACCTCCCTGAAGGCAACGTGTCATAACCGGCTGAACCTCCTTAAAATCCTCGCTCATCTTTCATGGGGTGCTGATCATAGAACTCTCCTTCGACTACATTCGGCCCTAATTTTATCGAAATTCGATTATGGCGACCAGATAAATTCAGTGGCCTCTCCTGCAACTCTCTCTAGCCTTAATTCCATTCATTAACAGGGATTATGTTTATGCCTTGGTGCTTTTCGCTCTTCACCAGTTGAGAGTCTCTATGCAGAGGCGAATATTCCATCCTTATCCGATCGCCGTGATGCTCATTGCCTTCACTACTATGTTCACTCTCATGACCTCCGCAATCCTTCCATCTAAATAAGATAAGATTTTCTTCGGATTTTTAGCCCCGGAGGGTTAGCCACCCAGAATAACCCAAGAAAGTCAGTGCGTCATCAAGGACTGTCTAACTTATTTCCATTGGGGTCCTCAGTCTTGTCCCCCAGGATGCGACCCACACCAGTCGACTAACACCCAGGTACTTATTTACTGCTAGGTGAACAGGACAACAGGTTTCAGGAAACGCGTCGAAATGTATCCACCCACCGGGAATCGAACCCGGGCCCTCCGTGTGTGAAGTGAGAGCTTTAGCCACCAGGGCACCGGGCCATCTAGAGGATAGCCACTTATATTAGTAGACGTTCTTTATTTGCTCGTTGCCCCTGTTTACTCCATCCCTTTTCTCTTTGCCTACATTCACTCTTGTCTTCTCTTCAGTTACCACCTTTCTATGTTCATGTAGCAACTCACTGTTCCCTACCCCCCTTGGGAAATTCCGACAGCTCGTGTCTGCTTTTTCCCATTGTCATGCGCGAAAGCCCAACTGCCTACAGTGGCTTCTCTCTCTCTTTTTCCTAACCACTTCCGATCTCATTCTCATGCCATCGCAGTGTACACCGATGATTCCAAGTCTTTTGATGGCATCGGATTCACAGCAGTGTTTCCGGACAACATCGTGTTTACCTGAGGGCATTTATTATCCTTGGCAAGCATTTTTATGGCTGAATTGTATGCAATTCTCGTAGCACTTATTCGTATTGCATCTATGCCTGTGTCACCATTTATGGTCATTTCAGACTCTCTTAGTGCTCTACAGGCTATACGAAAATTTGATACACATCCCCTGGTGCTTCGTATCCAACTTTGGTCATGCCGTATCTCTAGCAAGCACAAAGATATTGTTTTTTGTTGGGTCTCTGGTCATGTTGACGTACAGGGCAATGAACAGACAGACACTGCTGCGCAGTCAGCAGTACATGACCTCCCAGTTTCATATAGAGGTGTTCCATTCACAGACTATTTTGCTGTAATTGCTGCCCACCTTTGCCCTCGTTGGCAACAATGTTGGTCTGATCTGCTCTCTAATAAACTACATTCTATTAAGCCGAGTATAGGTTTCTGGCCATCTTATCATCAATGTTGAGGTTGGGAGACTACTCTCTCCCATCTTCGCATTGGCCACAGTTATCTTACTCACGGGTATCTCACGGAGAGGTACCCTATTCCACTCTGTAAGAACTGTCAGGTTCCAGTTTCTGTTAGCCACATTCTGATGGACTGCCCACTCTATCAACGAGCCCCCAGAATTTACCCCCAACGTCGTCACCACTCTAGTGCCCTTAAACAAACAAAACAAACAAACAAATTTTATTTCTTTGCAAGATTACATTGAGATTATGAAATTACAATAATGAGTTGCAGTGCAAAGAGCCACTATCACGCCTTGGCATTATGGGCAGACTTAATTTAATGGCTTACAGACTACTTAATACTAAAGAAATTGATCACGGTTTGTTTACGTTGTACTTCTGTTTTTATTTATAGTAGACAACAATTTTACTCAGATTGCAATAGTTTCAATAAAAAATATTGAGTTGTTGAAAGTAGTTTACAGTCTGAGAATGCTACAATTGGGTGTATGGTAGTATTGTTTTGGGTAGGTATTTACACTACAATGTAGGATTAATAATGTATGTAGTTTGGGCGTCTAGATTTGAAGTTTTAAGATTTATGTAACTGGGAGATTTTTTGGTAAAGTTAAATATTGAGTATTGAGTATTTAGTTTAGAGTGAGTAGGTGGTTTTTGAGAAGAGTCTTAAATTGGTGTTCAGACCTGGTTACTTTAGTATTTACTGGTAATGAATTCCAGATTTTGGGGCCCTTTATGTGCATAGAGTTTCTACACAGTGAGATATGGACACGGGGTACATCAAAAAGAGATCTGTGTCTTGTATTATGGTCATGTGTCCTGTTAAGGTTGGTGGACCCTCTTGTAACCCAGACTTCCTCATTGACTTTTTGACAGCAACTGATTTACTGCACAAACTCTGATGATGATGCCTCTAGTACTCCTCACGGCCTTTTCTACCCCAATCTCTTGCTATCCTCTACTCCTGCACTGTCTACTGCCCCGCTGCCCTCCATGACCTAATAATCATCCCTCTCCCTCTTGCTACCCATTATCCCTGAGTATCTTCATTTGGTATTGAAATGACAAAGTCACTAGTTGGTGAAACAACTTCAAATAAAAATACTCAGCCAATTCTAGGTTCTCTACACATATGCTGCTATGTATGATAATCTATGTAACTGTATTTATGTACACCTGAATAAACTTACTGACTTACTCAAATATGTTTAATTCCTGTATAAAACAAGTGGTTGAGCAGTCCCAGCCCTTCAACCCAACAACAAAACAACAACAACAAGACATTTCCCTCAAATATGGGAAAGTTATTGTTCCTGGTGATATAATTCAACACCGACGCCTATTTAAGGTAACTTTCAGCGTGGATTAACACAAGAAGAAATGTTTGAACATTTTTATCCACTGTTCTGGTGCTTTATTAACAGGAAAATGGTCATTAAGGTGTGGCATGTTGCAATAAATGATTGACTAGAGGTTGTAGTGAAGTAAATAATTATCATCTTTTTTATCATTTACAATAATAGCCAGATTTTGTTGAGGTTGAAGGTCTGGTGATCCAAGGAATTGCAGCTATCCTCCTAATAACCTAGATGTTGAAGCACCCTAAGCAGAAAAAGCTATCCTCACCTTCCTCGAATCAAACCTGATTTATTCTCATTTCCTATTCCTTCTATGGGGGAGTGACGCTGTATGACCCTGGTGGTTTAGCGCTTAGTTATGATTATAATAATATGGGGAGTGGTGCTGGTTAAGAGCTCTTGTTCCAAGGAATTGTATTAAACCTGATTACCCCCATTTCCCCAGGTGCTGCATGACCCATACAGATTTAGCACTCTCCCATAATTATAATAATGAAACCCCTATATATCTGTCTTTAAGTGCTTTCTTCAGCAGGTGTCTACTGCTTTCCAACAAAATTTTCTCGTCATGTTGTGTCTGAGCTGTTGTCTTGTTAAATATATGGAAAAGACTTGTTATCAAGTGTATTGCACAGTATTGTACACTAACAGCCTCTTTCAAGGCAGGCGAAATTGCAGACCAGGAGAATATACAGAGAACTTTCACGGCACTTATAAATTTGATGAAGATACTTGATAATATTCACTTGGAAAATCCCAGGGTGGCCCGGTGGTCTGGTGGCTAAAGCTCCCGCTTCACACACGGAGGGCCTGGGTTCGATTCCCGGCGGGTGGAAATTCCGACACGTTTCCTTACACCTATTGTCCTGTTCACCTAGCAGCAAATAGGTACCTGGGTGTTAGTCGACTGGTGTGGGTCGCATCCTGGGGGACAAGATTAAGGACCCCAATGGAAATAAGTTAGACAGTCCTCGATGACGCACTGACTTTCTTGGGTTATCCTGGGTGGCTAACCCTCCGGGGTTAAAAATCCGAACGAAATCTTAGTCCCAAATTTGCACACGAAAATCACTCCCTGTAAAAACAAAAGACTTGGCAGGTGGTGCAACATCCCTCAGTGAAAAGCAGGGGTGCTACGAGTATGCTAAGAGACAACACAGTAAGTACTAGGGGCCCAGGACTGTTCAATTGCCTCCCAGCAAACATAAGGGGGATTACCAATAGACCCCTGGCTGTCTTCACGAGGGAACTGGACAGGCACCTAAAGTCAGTACATGACCAGCCAGGCTGGTCAGGTACATCAGTTTGGATGCAGCCAGCAGTAACAGCCTGGTTGATCAGGCCCTGATCAACCGTGAGGCCTGGTCATGGACCTGGCTGCCGGGGCAATGACCCCTGAAACCCCCTCCAGGTATTGTACAGTATTGAACAGTACAGTATTGTACAGTAAATTGAATAGCATTCTGTTTCTTAATAGAAAGCTAGTACTTTCATCCAAACACAGTTTCTATCAGTCATACAAAATTTACTCTGTTTTTTATGAAGAAATAAAATTTATTATTATTAATATTATTATTAGTATTGATTATGATGATAATGGTACAAATGACTGGAAAATGCTTGCAATATTTTCAGGTTCGCAGGCGTACACAATGGCTGCCATGACGGCTAGCGTCCTCAATAATTTTGCAGACTTGGCACTGTCGTTGCCGGCTCCATCGTTAGAAGCAACCATCAAGCAAAATCCTACAGTGGTTGACTCAACAGGTGAGCCTGGATATTTCGTGGTGAAACAATGGTAGAGTATACCAGCAGTATGTTAATAAGACAAGAGTGTGGGTTGTGGCATTTATTGCGAAGATGTTTTGTCCGCCAGGGATTTTATCAATTGACCTGAATTGGTAATGCCCCTGGTGGATGTAATGTCTTCAAATTAAAATGCCATAAGCCACATATCGTGTCTTATTTATATCTCGGCTAAATAATGGCAAGTGAATTCCTTTCCTGCTAATCATTCCACTGGTATAAACATTAGTAATTCTGTGTTTCTGTTATAGGGAAGTTCATGTAATATTTTAGTTTTAATTGTTCTTCTTTTGTAATACAGTGGACCCCCGCATAACGATTACCTCCGAATGCGACCAATTATGTAAGTGTATTTATGTAAGTGCATTTGTACGTGTATGTTTGGGGGTCTGAAATGGACTAATCTACTTCACAATATTCCTTATGGGAATAAATTCGGTCAGTACTGGCACCTGAACATACTTATGGAGTGAAAAAATATCGTTAACCGGGGGTCCACTGTATTACTTATAAATAAAAATTATATGTATTTTACAAGTGTAAGTAAAAAGTCTTACATTCTGTTCCTCTTTTGATAAGCTTTATTTGATAAATAATGCAAATATTCTCTGCTTGAAATATTATATCACATAGGTGTATTATTTTTCTTTTTCTTTTTCACTATACCAAAAATGATGGCTCTTGTCTGGTTGAAAGTTAATCCCTTAGATATTCAAATGAAATGGCCAAATGATAAGACACAAAACTCAATCTATTTTGTAAATTGTGTGCAGTCAAGGTAGTCTCTGGTTTTCAGAATTTGGTCATTGGTGATTTGATAGTTTTAAGAGGCACCCACCAATCTGCATAATATTAAATGCTCTAGCAAGAGTGCAACCACCACAAAAAATTATCCTCTGAGCTTGTCAGGATTATTGCAGACTGCAGTTACAACCCCAGTCAAGTATTTAATATAGATGAGAGGGTTATTTTGGAAGTATAGTAGAATCCCCATATCCATTGGTTTGGTATCTGTAGTTTCAGTTATCTATGGTTCACTGTGGCCCAAAAATGCTTGTTAATTTTGCATAATAATGGCCCCAAAGTGCAAAAGTAGAGAAGCTAGCAGTTCTTCAAAGCCTAAGAGAAGCCATGAAGTGCTTCCTATCAGTGAAAAAGTGATAATTCTCCACTTATTGTGCATAATTTATCTATTAAAATTTATAATAGGTATGTATAGGACTTATATATAAGGTTTGCTACTATTTACAGTTTCTGTATCCACGGCGGGTCTTTGCAACATATCCCCAACAGATATGGGGGTCCTACTGTATGTGCCATCAATAACCTATTTATCAGGGATGACGGAGCAGCAAATACAAGAGACTTAGGACAAGGAGAAACAACTTAACATTACAGTTTATCCATGGGAATCCAAACTGGTCACAGGTACATCACTTGCTGCATTGTAAAAAGAAGAATTAGGATGGTTCTCGAAATCTATACCAGTAAATCCTACTTTTAATAATTGTTTTACTTTTTTTTAAAGGTTATGATGGTCGAACAGCACTTCAGAAGGCTGTGATGGTTGGTAATCTGCCAGTTATAAGACTGCTGTTGCAGTATGGTGCTGACCCTAACCTCAGAGCTCAGTCAGGTAAAGAATAAAATGGCTAGAGAGATTTTTTTGTTGTAATTTACTTCTTTTTGTACCTTGAGTTTTTGTTACTTTTGTTGATATAAAAGTTTATGGTGTGGAATTAATCTCCTAATAGGAGATTATGAAGTACACCATCTGTCTGTTAGAGTTATCTTTGAGAGCAAGCTAGAATAAAGTTTTACACTGATTATCTTGCCAAAGTAGAAACTGGACAGCAGTTGTATTAATTGCTCTTCAAACAGTTTTGTAACAATATCATACTTACATTAGTTAATCTTCTTCAACAAACTAGCCGTATCCCACTGAGGCAGGGTGACCTAAAAAGAAAAACGAAAGGTTCTCTTTTTGAATTTAGTATTGTATACAGGAGAAGGGGTTACTAGCCCCTTGCTCCCAGCATTTTAGTCCATGCATGTATACATTTGCATGCATGTACTGTTTGAAACCATTTAAAAGGTATCACACTTGCACAAAGACAAGTACCTGTATATTTTCCATGTGCACATCTCAAAAATAATGTTTAAACCATGTAGGGGTCTCTATAGTTTATCTGGTTCATTTATTTTTGATTAATAGCAACAAGAGTTAAACTAAAACTGTATACTTAATGTATTTATTTATATGAAAGCATCAGTACATTACATATTGCTCTTCTTTTGACAAACCGGCCACATCCCACCAAGGCAGGGTGGCCCAAAAAGAAAAACGAAAGTTCCTCTTTCTATCTCTAGCAATGTATGCAGGAGAAAGGGTTACTAGCCCCTTGCTGCTGGCATGTTAGTCACCTCTTATGACACACATGGCTTATGGAGGAAGAATTCTGTTCCACTTCCCCATGGAGATAAGAGGAAATATAAAAGAACAAGAACCAGTAAGAAAATAGAAGAAAACCCATAGGGGTGTGTATATATGCATGTACATGCAACTGTACTGTAACCTAAGTGTAGCTATAAGTAGCAAGATGTACCTGAAATCTTGCATGTTTATGAGACAGAAAAAAGACACCAGCAATCCTACCAGTTTTACACTCATTTGGCAGGATGGTAGTACCTCCCTGGGCAGTTGCTGTCAACCAACCTACTACCTACCATTACGTATTATGTATTTATTTATCGATACCACTTATGTATTGAAAGGGAATCGATCTGCATAATAATCAAAATGTATATCAGTAACAAATGCTCAAAACAATGGAGATATTCCTCATTTTTTAGGTGAGACAGCTGTGCATATAGCCTGCTGTAGAGGCCTACTCAATGTGGTTGTGACACTTTTAAAACATGGAGGGGATCCCATGGTTGCTGATGGTACTGGAAGAGTAGGCATACACTGTGCTGCAATTGCTGGATCAATGTAAGTTGAAGTGGAATTTATTTGGTCTTCTGAGTTCCCATATTTTACAGTAATTATAAATTCTGAGACTCTACTGAGCCCTTAAAGAGGAATTATCTATTGGGATCTTGGGAAACTTTTAGGAGAATCTGTTCACTTTAGTAATTTAATAGGTTTTTTAAATGATTTTGTTTTTTAACTTGGTATTATATTTATGTTCTGTGTTTTATTCATGTTAATAGTTTTTATTTTTATTTTGTCAATTTGTATATTTTTTTACTTCTAAGAGTGCTGAATGACCTACTTGGTCAATATGTATTATTATGAAACAAGTTGTCATGGGAAATGCATGTGTCTTGTGAATGAAGGTGTAACCCAAGGAATTCTTCTTCTTCCAACGTACCAGCCATATCCAACTGAACCCAAGGAATTATTCTCCCAAAATAATTAATTGACATCTCTACATATTCTTATGCATATTTTTATCAAGTGCCTAGATGCTGCTTTAACTACTGGTATATGAGAGAAAAAGGCATCACCATTTGGAACTGAAAAATAAGTATTCAGAGAATGAGGGTTGCCTTATCTTTCATACATGTGGGTATGTCTTTCCTTTTGGAAACAGCAGCTTGTGCAGGAGAAAGTGAAAGCTAGATAAATGGGACAATTATATTAAATGTAAAAATAAATAAATAAGAAGAGTGATAAGGAAAGAATATAACTTGAGAATTAGAGCTTGAGTATGAAAGAGATCACCACTTGAAGCAACAACCTGAGAAGAAATACATTAATTAAAATTATTTCTTGCTTTCTGTAAGGAATACATTGACTTGTGATTAGAAAATCTATTCTCTTTCTCTCCTCCTCCCCATCTGAGAAAAATGCAGTAGTGTTGCAATAAAAAAAATTTGCTTTTAGGATGCTTGTGCAGTATTTGGCAGAAGTGTGTGAGGTCAACTTGGAAGCTGAGGATAACTGCGGCTGCACCCCACTTCACATTGCTGCTGCCTGTGGACACCTTGGGCTTGTGAAGTATCTTGTGCAGAGCAAAAAGTTAGTACAATCTACTTTTATGAATGTAGTGTTTGTTTGGTGGGTCATATGAATTGTGGTGTCATGCACTTCTCGAGAGGCAGGTAGAGATTGAGTGATGAATGTATTTTCCTTGTTTGGAAGGAAGGGGTAAAGGAGGTTTTAAGTTTTAGGAGTTTGAGCATTCAGCAGGCTTGTATGAGCTTATTAGATGGGTGTGATTAGCGACTAGTGGCTTGTAATGGACATGTTGTTGGAGTGTGAACGAGGTAACCATTTATGAAGGGATTCAGGAAGACCGGTTAGCCAGACTTGAGTTCCTGAAGGTGGGAAGAGCAATGCATACTCTGTAGTAGGAGTTGGGATGCTGTAGCCAAAGGGTAATCTGATTGTGATGTCAGCACACTTCTGGAAATGAATGATGGTGAGTGTGTGTTCTTTGGGTCACCCTGCCTTGGTAGGAGATGGCCAATGAGTTCAAAAAATAAAAATATCTGTACAGTAAGAAGAAATTTTTACCCCTGTCATTTTTGATTTGATGATGATTAATATTTAATATAGAAATAATATCCACAAGAAATGTATTTATGGTCTTGTTTTGACTACTAACATTGAAGAGAAAAAGAAGAAATCTTTATATTATTATTATTTTAATTGAGAAAGAGAAGTAATCTTTATATTATTATTATTATAATCAAAACTAAGCTCTAAACTGAAATCGTTATAGAACTTCAAACAGAATAATTGTTCAAGGATTCGGATGCTCACCACACATTTTATACAAATACCTATACAAATTTATTCCTTTGAATAGTATACAGTGCGAGATTTACATGTTATAAAATATTGTTAAGTACAAAGAAAGCCACTAACATGTTGGAGCATTTCGGGCAGACTAGTCCTAAAGATTACAGACTACTTATTAAAACTAGACATAGATCAATGAGTGATAAATTTTAATTATGTATTTTTTGAATTGTTACAAAAAGAGAGGTAGCAAAAAATTTTAATTAATATGATTTATAGTAGAGAGGTAGAAAAAGTTTTTCTTCTTCTCTTTTTTAGAGAGAGATGTCATGTCTGAGGGCAATGTGTGGTGTGAATATAATGCAGAGAATTCGTAGTTTGGAAGTTAGGAGAAGGTGCGGGATTACCAAAACTGTTGTCCAGAGGGCTGAGGAAGGGTTGTTGAGGTGGTTCGGACATGTAGAGAGAATGGAGCAAAACAGAGTGACTTCAAGAGTGTATCAGTCTGTAGTGGAAGGAAGGCGGGGTAGGGGTCGGCCTAGGAAAGGTTGGAGGGAGGGGGTAAAGGAGGTTTTGTGTGCGAGGGGCTTGGACTTCCAGCAGGCATGCGTGAGCGTGTTTGATAGGAGTGAATGGAGACAAATGGTTTTTAATACTTGACGTGCTGTTGGAGTGTGAGCAAAGTAACATTTATGAAGGGGTTCAGGGAAACCGGCAGGCCGGACTTGAGTCCTGGAGATGGGAAGTACAGTGCCTGCACTCTGAAGGAGGGGTGTTAATGTTGCAGTTCAAAAACTGTAGTGTAAAGCACCCTTCTGGCAAGACAGTGATGGAGTGAATGATGGTGAAAGTTTTTCTTTTTCGGGCCACCCTGCCTTGGTGGGAATCGGCCAGTGTGATAATAAAAAAAAAAATAAAAAAAAAGGTAGAAAAATATTACAATTAGTATAATTTACAATATTGCAACAGTACAATTTAATTTTAAGTGTGTATTAATATTTTATATTGATTTAGTGGTCGTAAGTTAATTGGGATTTCTTGTACAGTGGACCCCCGCATAACGATGGCATCGCATAGCGATTTTTCCGCATAACGATTACTTTTATCGCAAAATTTTTGCCGCGCATACCGATTAAAAACCCGCATACCGATTTTCGTCCGAGACGCGTCCAATGTGCCCTCAGCCAGCCTCACATGTGCCGCTCCGTCCCATTGTTTACCAGCCAGCCTCCGCGGTAACATCCAAGCATACACTCGGAATATTTCGTATTATTACAGTATTTTCGGTGCTGTTTCTGGAAAATAAGTGACCATGGGCCCCAAGAAAGCTTCTAGTGCCAACCCTGTGGTAAAAAGGGTGAGAATTAGTATGGAAATTAAGAAAGATTTGAAGGTTTGGGCTAACCCTGAGAAGCCTATGCCAGTTGTGGAATCCATTGTGCCTACTCAAAGATTAAGGAAATGTGTGCACAGTGGGTTGAACTGCAAACCTTTATAGATGAAAATCACCCTGACACAGCTGTTGCAAGCCGTGCTGGTGACTATTTCAATGACAATGTTGTGGCCCATTTTAGACAAATCGTAAAGGAACGGGAGGTACAGAGCTCTATGGACAGATTTGTTGTGCGACAGAGGTCCAGTGACTCTCAAGCTGGTCCTAGTGGCATTAAAAGAAGAAGGGAAGTAACCCGGAAAAGGACTTGCTACCTCAAGTCGTAATGGAAGGGGATTCCCCTTCTAAACAGTAAGAAGATAATGCTCTCCCCTCCTCCCATCCCATCAATCATCACCAGATCTTCAATAAAAGTAAGTGTCATTTAATTGTGCATGCCTTTTTCAGTTTGTGTGTATTAAAATTAACATTTCATGTGGTAAAAAAAATTTTTTTCATACTTTTGGGCATCTTGCACGGATTAATTTGATTTCCATTATTTCTTATGGGGAAAATTCATTCGCATAACGATTATTTCGCATAACGATGAGCCCTCTTGCACGGATTAAAATCGTTAACCGGGGGTCCACTGTAGTTCCAAACTGGTTACATGATTTCAGACATTGGATAGTGTTGGAATAGTTAAGTTTGGGAGATGAGATAATTTTTAATTATAGCCCTAAATTGATTGGCAGAAAGGGGACCTTTTGCTGGCTCTGGCAATGAATTCCAGGTTTGTTTTTGTATTTGTATAAGGATTTGGATGCTCACCACACATTTTATAGTGTCTTATTCTTATATATACAGAGTAAATCGTAATAAAGTGGATATTGAGGGCAATACATCGCTCCACTCTGCAGCCACTGGTGGAGTGTCAGGTGTGTGCTGGGCAGTAATCTACCCGGGAAGTGAGCAGCTTCTCACTACTACTAACACAGCTGGTCTTACACCTGCTCAAGCTGCTCGGGCTTCCACCTCAATGTTAGTAAACGTTATTTGGGTACTGGTTTAAATTTGTGTCATTATGGTTATGTTGCAGTTTGGTGGATCATTAGAATTGTGATGTCTGCACTTTTGGTTAGCTAGGTTCTGAGTAATGGTGAATATTTTCCTTCTTTGGGTCACCTTACCTTGTGAGAAACAACCAATATGTTTAACAAAATAATGAGATCATCATAGTAGGACCAAAAGACTTCAGCTATTTAGAGAGAGAAAACACATTCACCAGCATTCATGCAATTGCCATCTTTCCTCTGAAAAGATGGAGATTGAGCAAATGTTGGTTGAATGTATTTCCTTTAGGTCACCCTGACTTGGCATGAGATGGCCAAGATTTTTTTAATCAATGATTTAAAAAATTGGAGAAAGAGAAGAGAAATGAGCATATCAGTCTAGCCATCAGATGTTTATACCTTGTTATCAGCATGTTAAATTGCTTATACTTTTGTGTGAGATGTGCTCATTTATAATTGCAGAATTTGTATAGACCATAGAATTATTGAATATATGGAACTTTGATTAAAGAGAGTGGCAAAAATGTACTTTTTTTTTTTTTAACAAACCGGCCATATCCTACTGAGGCAGGTGACCCAAAAAGAAAAACTAAAGGTTTTCTTTTTAAATTTAGTAATTTATATAAGAGAAGGGGTTACTAGCCCCTTGCTCCTGGCATTTTAGCCACCTGTTATAAACACATGGCTTACGGAGGAAGAATTCTTTTCCATTTCCCCATGGAGATAAGAAGTAAAGAAGAACAAGAACTATTAAGAAAATATAAGAAACCCAGATTCATGTTCACATGCATGAACATGAATGCGTAGTGTGACTTAACTGTAAGTAGAAGTAGCAAGATATACCTGTTATCCCTCGTGTTTATGAGACAAAAAAAAGACATCAGCAATCCTACCATCATGTAAAACAATTACAGGTTTCCGTTTTACTCACATGGCAGGACGATAGTACCTCGCTAGGTGGTTGCTGTCTACCAATCTACTACCTAGGATTACTTGTTTTTCATCACCAATAACAATTTGAAATTTAAAATAGGAAATACTGTCATTTGTGATTAGTAATTTCTTATAAATTATGTCATAATAGAAATGCATATTTCTTTTAATCTTTTTGACTTAAGGGAAGTGCATCCATTGGATACCCTTGACATATTTCTGAAATTTTGTTCAAAGAGATTCTGTTAAGATCCCTTGAGGGTCTCAGGAAGTGGACTTACCTTTTTTTTCTTGGATCAAACCTGATGACTTCTTATCCCCAGGGGCAGTATGACCTCTACAGGATAACGATTCTCCTGTGAATATAGCCCCTCCTCACTTAACGACAGAGTTCCGTTCCTGAGACCTCGTCGGTAAACGAATTTGTCGCTAAGTGAAGAGCATACTATAATCATAGTGGGTTTGTGTCAACCATCTTTGATGTTTTCATGTCACCTTTGTACCATTTATAACATTTCTGGTGTATTTTTAAATGTTTATTCAGGAGTGTACTGTATATTGTAATAAACAATACATGTAGAGGAAATCAGCTCTAATATACATTATTTAGGTATGCTTACTGGTCAGAGAGCCCGTTGTAAGTCCGAGTTGTCAGTAAACGAGTACGTTGCTAAGCGAGTAGAGGCTGTAATAATCATTAGTAGTAATAATTATGAATATTCATTGTGAGTAATCATGAATAATAATAATTATGAATAATCATTGTGAATAATTATGAATAACACTCATTATGAATATTAATCATTATGAATATAATCATGAATAATAATAATCATTGTGAATAATAATGAAAAATCATTATGAATAATCATTGTGACTAATCATTATGAATAATAATCATTATGAATCTTTCTTTCAACACACCGGCCGTATCCCACCAGAGGCGGGGTGGCCCAAAAAGGAAAAACGAAAGTTTCTCCTTTTACATTTAGTAAAATATACAATAGAAGAAGTTACTAGCCCCTTGTTCCCGGCATTTTAGTCGCCTCTTACAACACGCATGGCTTACAGAGGAAGAATTCTGTTCCACTTCCCCATGGAGATAAGAGGAAATAAACAAGAATAAGAACTAGAAAGAAAATAGAAGAAAACCCAGAGGGGTGTGTATATATATTCTTGTACATGTATATGTAGTGTGACCTAAGTGTAAGTAGAATTAGCAAGACATACCTGAAATCTTGCATGTTCATGAGACATAAAAACGGACACCAGCAATCCTACCATCATGTAAAACAATTACAGGCTTTCGTTTTACACTCACTTGGCAGGACGGTAGTACCTCCCCTGGGCAGTTGCTCTCTACCAACCTACTACGTAGGAATCATTATGAATATTTTTTTTTCATTTCCTGCAGCTACAGTATATGATTATCCTGAAATTTCATGTGCATATTTTAGGTCATACCCTCGTTCTTCTTTCATTGTTGTGCATTGGTTGATATGGTAATTGAAAAATAAAACTGCCTCTAGTTGTATTTGTAATCTGTATTTCTTTGTTTTTTCTTTTTCTTAGTTCCCCAGATTGCCTTAAATGGCTTGAGAGGTGGACAAGACAGTATGAGCGCAGCAGTGCGGTGGAATCACCTCGTTGGCCATGGCTCATCCAGTTGTTAACTCCAGCAACAATTTTTTATATTGGAATTGTAAGCATTCTAATATAAGAATATTTTGTATGCACTTTTTAATATTAACAATGAATTAAAAAGATTAGTAGACAAACCTTGAAGTTGTTGTATGTGTAATATGTTGCATAGGTATGAAATTGGTTTGAACATTCCATTAGTTTAAATCAGTATACATTACTGCAACTTGAACGTGTTACTGCTGTTTCTTCAATTTTTTTCCAGATTCGGTAATTCGATGGGAAAACTCTTGTTTCAATATACAGTGTTGTTATATTCACTGATTAGTGTGCCAGAATCAAATTGCTGTACATATTTTAAATTATTTTCAGTTGCTGTCTGTATTTGCTATGCCACACCACCAGTGGATGGTTGGAATGCCTGTGTTTATTGTGGGCCTTACAGTCATGGCTCGACAGCAGCATCGGATGAAGCACCCTGTAATGTTAGTACCTACCTTAAATAATTATCAGATTTCATCATGCTTTAATGAAGTTAAAATGAATTGCAGTGAAATAGTGCATGCATCATTTACATGAAGGTAAAATAATTTTTGTTCGTGCCCTCAGGGTTAATTATTATACAGCATATTCCAGTGTGGGAACATGGGGTTTGAGTTATTTAATTTCCGGTTTCAAAACATTCACTATCTTGATGGCATAAGAGTAAGCCTGCCCGTGCTATGCTATGCATTCATGTGGCTTTGGCATGCTGCATTTAACTGTATTCTTTTGTACTTCACTGTATCATGTTCAAATTAATAAATAAATAAATAATAAATAAATAAATAAAGGGGTAAGGTGTAGATGTATTATCAGAAAATTCTTTAATTTTCTGATAATTTTCCACATAGTCATCATACCATTTAATAGGTACTAAAAGGTAACTCTAATATTAATTTATATACAGTCATTATATTAATGCATTTGTTGGACTTTCCAGGTGGCCTAATCCCATATACTTAGGAGCATATGGGGGAGGCCTCTTATCGACACTGGTATGCTACTTTGTTGGGATTGAAGCTCATCGACATGAACCCATCATCGTTTCACTCATAATGTGGAGTACAGCGCTGTGTCACATTATTATCTTCTATAAGCTAGTCACAGGTGTGAACTGCATTTTTTTAATCAGCTAAAACCCATCATCTGTTGTGAGTGTAATAGAAATTAATTTTCTCTTTTTATAAAAGGAACTTTTAAATTTTCCATGAAATATATGAAACTAAGAATAAGTTATTAATGATGTTTAATCATTATCTCAGTTAAAAAATTCAATAGGTGAGCAAATAGGTAAGCACACAAAAAATTAGTAATTTATTTTTAATTACAGCTTCTCCTCACTTAGCGACATACTCGTTTACCGATGACTCGGACTTACGGCAGGCTCCTGACCAGTATGCATACCTAAATAATATATATTAGAGCTGATTTCTTCTATTCTGTTTATTACAATATAGTACACTGTATAGAGTATACCAGAAATGTTATAAATGGTGCAAAGGTGACATTAAAACATTATCAACGATGGTTGACACTAACCTACTACCATTATAGTATGCTCCTCACTTAGCAACGAATTCATTTACCGATGTGGTCTTAGGAACGGAACTCCATTGTTAAGTGAGGAGAGGCTGTATTTTGTTATAGTAATTATTTATGTCTACTATAGTAATATTTTTTTATTTTTTATTTTCAACAAACTGGCCGTATCCCACTAAGGCAGGGTGGCCCAAAAAGAAAAACGAAAGTTTCTCTTTTTAAATTTAGTAATTTATACAGGAGAAGGGGTTACTAGCCCCTTGCTCCCAGCATTTTAGTCGCCTCTTACAACACGCATGACTTATGGAGGAAGAATTCTATTCCACTTCCCCATGGAGATAAAGAGGAAATAAACAAGAACAAGAACTAGAAAGAAAATAGAAAACTCAGAGGGGTGTGTATATATATGCTTGTACATGTATGTGTAGTGTGACCTAAGTGTAAGTAGAAGTAGCAAGATGTACCTGAAATCTTGCATGTTTATGAGACAGAAAAAAAAAGACACCAGCAATCCTACCATCATGTAAAACAATTACGTTTCCATTTTACACTCACTTGGCAGGACAGTAGTACCTCCCTGGGCAGTTGCTGTCTACCAACCTACTACCCAGAGTAATGTTTTTATAAATTCAATATTATTCTCTTCATTTTGGGGATGGCTTGAGCTAACATACATGTTAATGAGACAGTAGGAAAACACTCCATTGATTAGAGTATATAAATTTCTAAGTATATATCAGTCTTTATATACTATTCCATTTAACAGAATGAAATGGAACTCCATGGGAAAGTGGAGGAGAATCCTTCCTCAGTAAGCCGTGCATGTCATAGAGGTGACTAAAATGCCAGGAGCAAGGGGCTAGTAACTCCTTCTCCTGTATCAATTACTACTTGTAAAAAGGAACACTTTCGTTTTTCTTTTTAGGTCCCCCCTGCCTCGGTTGGAGATGGCTAGTATGTTAAAAGAAAATTCTCGATATATATCAAGTGTGACTAAAAGTTTTCCTGACACCACATTCTTTCATTCTAATACAAAATATTCATAATACTTTATCATAAATGATTATTTTTATAATGCACTGACCATCTCTCATCAAGGTAGTATGACCCATAAATAGGGTAAAAATGTTCACCATCATTCATTCAATCACTGTGTTGCCAGAAGTATGCTGACATCACAGCTCAGATGACCCTTTGAACTTCAACATCTCCACCCCTCTTTCAGAATGCAGGCACTATACTTTTCACCTCCAGGAATCAAGTCTGGCTAACTGCTTTTCCTGAATTTCTTCATAAATGTTACCTTGTTCACACCCCAACAACATATCAAATCATAAAAATCACTTGCCTCCACTCACCTCTATCCAAAATGCTCACATAAGCCTACTAAATGTCCAGGTTTCTAGCACTCAAAATCTCCTTTACCCCTTTCCCTTTCAGCATTTTGTAGGATGAACCTTTACAAATGCCATATACCATATTTTACAGCAAAAAAGATGCTCTGGTGTCAATGTGACCACCCCCTGGAGTCTGACTGGCTAAATTTTGGAAAAAATAAATAAATGGTATCCATGGTAATAACAGTAATAGAGTTATGTTAAGCTTGAGGCATTACATATAGAAACATGTGTTGATGGTTCGTTCTGAGGTTATTTATCACTAATGCAGCTGACTGGAAAGTTTGTCAGTCAGCTGCATCAGCTAAAATGCACTACGTCTATGTACAACAGCACTAAGAAACACGCCAGTGTACAGGTGTTTATTGTAGCTCTGCTAAATCTCAATCCTGAGCTTAAAAGGTTTGTACATCCAGAACCATCAGCAAAATGTTCTTTGCAGAGTTAACTTAAATGGTCAAGCACTCGTAATAAACGATGTTCAGCGATGAACAAAGATGTACAGCCTCTCCTCGCTTAATGACAAAGTTCTGTTCCTAAGACCACTAAATTTTAGAGATTTCTTTTTTGAAAAAAAAAAAAAAATAGCATCTTTGATGCCATAAAATATGGTATACATTTTGGGTAAGAAATAAAACTTCACTCATATATATTTTGTAATACATATTATATATGATATAATGATATAATGAGCAAGAATATTAAAATGATAGAAAAGCCTGTCCATGAACAAGTGATTATTTTTCATTGTAAGGTGAATAAATTAGCAGTTTATTTCACTTTTCTATATATATTTTATACATAGCAGCTATTATATCACTTATCTTTATGCATAATTGCACTATTCATTTATTATGCAATTTATAGCTAATCTCTAATCTCAGAAAAACATGCCCAAAATGCTTCATTTCAAGCAAGGAATATTTTTCACTCTGGTTGCCAGGTGACAGCAGGTACTGGGTTGAAATTTTACCTTTGTATCTGTAAAATTTCAGTGCTCACACCTCGGGATATACTCTTTCTGTGGTCAGAGTGGCAGCTCAACTTACACAGTTGAGAAGTTGAACTGCTAATTGCAGATTTATGGCCTGCATGTCTAAAGGGCTAATACAGGCACTCCTTACTTAACAACTGAGTTCCGTTCCTAAGAGTAGGTCGGTAAGAAAATTGGTCGTTAAGCAAGCAGCTGTCTCTTATTGATATTTCATGTATACTGTACTGGTGTGGGTTTGTGTCAACCATCTTTAGATATTGTATTAATGTCATCTTTGCACCATTTAACAGTTTTAGTATATTAAGAATAGAACTAGGTGTTATAAGACAATAAAAAGGTAAAATACACATACAGTACACTGATCGGAGAGCTGGTCATAAGTCCAAGCAGTTGTTAAACAGGTAGGTCATTAACCCTTTGAGGGTTTTGGTCGTACTAGTACGTTTTACGTGTAGGGGTTTTTGACGTACTAGTACTCATAAATTCTAGCGGCCTCAAATCTAGTGGGAGAAAGCTGGTAGGCCTTCATGTGAAAGAATGGGTCTATGTGGTCAGTGTGCACAGTCTAAAAAAAATCCTGCAGCACACAGTGCATAATGAGAAAAAAAAAAACTTTGACCATTTTTTTTTAATAAATCAGCGACTCTGCAGTGTATTTTCGTATGGGATTTATTGTTGTATTCTAGTTTTCCCTTTGGGCTCATTTTATAGAATGGAAGACATATTACAGAAATTGAGATGATTTTGACTGGTTTTACAATGAAAGGTGCCCTTTAAATTGAGCTCAAAATAGCAGAAATGTTCGATTTTTACCAAACTTCAAAAGTAAACAAATCGTGCCAAGCGTGCAATACACGTCAACTGGTGAGTCTATATCTTTTACAAGTGCACCAATAATATTTTACCATTTTTTACACTAATGCAGTAGTCCTGCATAACAAATAAATCTTATATTTTTTGTGGGGAATAAAAATTCAAAGTGGAAAGCAAAAGGATATAAGAGGGCCCCTTTAGACGTGACTAATGACTAGAGGAAATGTCATTTAGTGCCAGGAATGTCCCTTTCTTGTTTATTCTGGACCCTATTCGGAAATTGGATCTTTGAAATTTGTGTGAAATTGGCAAAATTGCTAAATTCTGACCACTGTACTGGATAGTTGAATTTATAAATGGGTGGTTTCTTGCACCCATTCGATAGAAAAAATGGAGTTCTAGCGAAATATTCATGTTTTTTGTCGACTAGTACAGTGAAATGGCCGAAAATGGGGCTCAAAGTGGGCAAAATCGCCGATGCGTAAATATCGCCGAGACCGCTAACTTTGCGAGAGCATAATTCCGTAAGTTTTCTATCAAATTTCAAACTTTTGGTGTCTTTATGATCGGGAAAAGATTCTCTATCTTTTCATAAGAGAAAATAATTTTTTTTTTTTTTTAAATTTGGCCGACCCTGAGAACGAGTTTCGGAGAGGGCCTGTCGACCCTCAAAGGGTTAAGTGAGGAGTACCTGTAATTAATAATCTTGTTTTTCATAATAAGCTTTATGTTAATATTATTGTACAAATCTTTGCAGGTGACCCTGGGGTAGTTCGAGCAGAAGGCCCCCTTCAGGAAGTATTGCGAGGGGTAGGTGAGGGGGTGGTACGAGGGTACTGTTCTGAGTGTCAGCTGGCTTCACCCCCATTTTCTCACCACTGTCGTCTATGTGTGGAATGCCACCATCAAATGGACCATCATTGTCTTTTTCTCAATACCTGCATTGCAGCAAATAATCATTGGCATTTTGTTATTTTTATTATGTCGAATATGGTTCTCATGGTTGGATTTCTAGAAGCTGCTTACAGAATCACTATACCCAAGGCTGCTCAAGGAGATTGGGTTGACATGCTGCTGGCACATTTGTGGTATCTAATGGATGAAAATATGTGGACTCTCCTCATGATTATATGCAATGGAGCTTCCTTGATATGGGCCATCAATCTTTTGAAGTAAGTAGATAATGTTCTTCATGTATCAGATAATATATTTACTACTTTAAAGTTATACCTTAAATCACTTGATTGCTTGTAAGGGATTGCTGAGTCTATGTTTTTGACATAAAAGAGCTGTGTCTTATAATTTTATAGTGATTTAGGCGTTCACAAAAGGCAGAATGCAATATGTTGCTGTATTAGTACTCATTCAGTCATTGTTGGGCCTTGTTACAAACATTTTGTTAAAAGCTTTTACTTTGTATCCCAAAGTTAAACTGTCAGGTTTTATTTACTCTATGGGGGAGTACTTGCAGTGGGTCAATCCATTATATGTGGTATTAAAATATAAAAAGTGATAGTTTTAGCATGTTACAAGGCTGTTTCCTAGGTAGTAGGTTGGTAGACAGCAGCCACCCAGGGAGGTACTACTGTCCTGCCAAGTGAGTGTAAAATGGAAGCCTGTAATTGTTTCACATGATGGAAGGATTGCTGGTGTCTTTTTTCTATCTCTTAAACTTGCAAGATTTCAGGTACGTCTTGCTACTTCTTCTTACACTTAGGTCATACTACACATACATATTTTTTTTTTTTTTTTTTTTCAACAAGTCGGCCGTCTCCCACCGAGGCAGGGTGACCCAAAAAAGAAAGAAAATCCCCAAAAAGAAAATACTTTCATCATCATTCAACACTTTCACCACACTCGCACATTATCACTGTTTTTGCAGAGGTGCTCAGAATACAACAGTCTAGAAGCATACACATATAAAGATACACAACATCTCCCTCCAAACTGCCAATATCCCAAACCCCTCCTTTAAAGTGCAGGCATTGTACTTCCCATTTCCAGGACTCAAGTCCGACTATATGAAAATAACCGGTTTCCCTGAATCCCTTCACTAAATATTACCCTGCTCACACTCCAACAGATCGTCAGGTCCCAAGTACCATTCGTCTCCATTCACTCCTATCTAACACGCTCACGCACGCTTGCTGGAAGTCCAAGCCCCTTGCCCACAAAACCTCCTTTACCCCCTCTCTCCAACCCTTTCGAGGACATGTACAAGCATATATATACACACCCCTCTGGGTTTTCTTCTATTTTCTTTCTAGTTCTTGTTCTTGTTTATTTCCTCTTATCTCCATGGGAAAGTGGAACAGAATTCTTCCTCCGTAAGCCATGCGTGTTGTAAGAGGCGACTAAAATGCTGGGAGCAAGGGCCTAGTAACCCCTTCTCCTGTATAAATTACTAAATTTTGAAGATAAACTTTCGTTTTTCTTTTTGGGCCACCCTGTCTTGGTGGGATACGGCCGGTTTGTTGAAAAAAAAAAATGTCTTGCTGCTTCTACTTACACTTAGGTCACACTACATATTCATGTACAAGCATATGTATACACACCCCTCTGGGTTTTCTTCTAAACTTCCATGAAAGCTATATATACAGGTTTCTGTCATGTTTGTGACAAAATCCTGTATCTATAGTTGTGGGAAGTAACTAATTCAGTTAACAGTTTCATCTTGCCTCTTTTCCATTTTTAGAGATAAAGAATTTTCTCATAAAGAAAAGCGTTTTTAGCCATTTTTGGGCAGGATTTTCAAAATTGCTTAAAATCACACTGGGGTACTATTTTCTATGCTGATCAAGAATATTCACATTTTAAGATGAAATCAGATCATTCTAGCATGATATGAGGCCCTGTTTTTGTGTGAAGCCCTAATGAGGATGACAGTGCTTGTATTAAAATTATTCTAACCTTGAGAAAAGTATTATTGTTTTTGTTTGTGGGAAACAACTTATCTAACAAACAGTTCCATGATGAATATATATTTTTTTTTTTTGCCAAGACCCCCCCCCCCAGTCACTGGACTATAGTTCAGCATTTTTACACTCAGCAGGATTGTCAAAATTGCTTCAAATCTCTCCAGTTGAACTATTTTTTGTTCTGTTTAAGAATATGTACCATGTAAATGGTTAAGCTGCCTGAGAATTCCTACCAAGAGGGATAATGAGGTAGAAGAATGCTTGGAACACTCAGCAAGTCATTAACATCAAGAGTAATAGTCAGATGTAAAACAAAATTTCATACTGTATTTGGAAATCAGTGCAGTGTGTTGTAAATCTACTACATAAATTTCATACTCTCAAAATTCCTACTTCAACTTATTTTTCTATAACATTAACACTCCATTAAAAATGTTGATAATTTATAAATTTGAAGCCTCTTACTTCTTTCCATGCAAGAATAATATTAAATGATTTCCTCTGCTCAGTTACTGCATGTTTTAATATTCCTTATGTGATAATATGAGCAAGACACATACGTGATTATAAAGACATTTATTGAGGTTATGACTGGATATGGGTCAGCCTAGGAAAGATTGGCTGGAGGGAGTAAAAAAGGTTTTGTATGTGAGGGGCTTGGACTTCCAACAACCATGTATGAGTGTATTACAGTGGACCCCCGCATTTCATGAGCCCTTGCGCTTCGTGAATTTTGACTTTCAGCAACTTTTTTTGTCAAAATAAAGCCTCACGGTTTGTGATTTGCCTTGTGATTTGTCCGTCTTACGAAACGTGTCTGTGCAGCCGGGAGCAGCTGGGCATACACAAAGGCTCCCACACAACAATCAGGAGTCAGTGTGGCTTTGTCTGTGGATGAGTGACCACTGGGTACTTCCCCACACAAACCAGCCAGGCTACTTCCTCACACACACAATTTGATTTGAGTAGGACTTGTGCATGAGTGAATATAATTAGCAAAGCTTATTGCTTGGGTAGCATTAAAAATTGGGTTGGACAGATATTCTGTTAGTGGGATGGTTTGTGAAGGACCTGCCTAGTATGGGCCAACAGGTCTGCTGCAGTGTTCCTGCTTTCTTATGTTCCATACACCAACAAGAGTCTTCAATAAAGGTAAGTGTGATGTTGTTATTGTTTTATACTTGATTTCTCATTGTTTTCTGTATGTAAATCTATATTTAATCTATAAAAAATAATTTTTGTTAATACTTTTGGGTGTCTGGAATGGATTAATTGGATTTACATTATTTCTCATGGGGAAAATGGTTTCGAGTTTCGTGAATTTCGACTTTCTGCAGACTTTCTGGAATGGATTAATCATGAAACTCGGGGGTCCGCTGTACATAAAAACGAGAGGAGACAAATGGTTTTTGTGACAACGTACTGTCAGGTAACATTTATGAAGGGATTCAGGGAAACCATCAAGCCGGACTTGAGTCTTGGAGGTGGAAAGCACAGTGCCTGCACTCTGAAGAGGGGTGTTGATATGTTGCAGTTTTTTTCTAACTGTAGTGTAGGCATGCCTCTGGCAAGAGGGTGATGGAGTGAATGATGATGAAAGTGTTTCTTCTTTAGGGGCCACCTTGCCTCAGTTGGAAACAACCGATGTGTTAATAAAAAAAAATCCCCTACCAGCTGGGCTGTGGTTCGAATGTCGGCTTGCATGCAGCCATTAGTAACAGCCTGGTTGATCAGGTCCTAATCAACTGCGAGACGTAGTCATGGACTGGGTCACAGGGACTTTGACCCCTCAGAACACCCTCCAGGTATACCAGGAGGATATACCACTTACTATATACCATTTACTGAGGATGTGCTGTATAGGATATCCTCAGGATATGCATATCAGGATATAGCATATCCTCAGGATATGCTGTATAGCATATCCTGAGTAAAGGTTTTCAGAATGTTTTGAAAATGGTGTATGAGTAATTCTCACATGCTTGTACTTGTGTTAATCACCAAATTTGATGTATGTGCTAAGCTGGATATAATCTTCCTGTTTTTCCATCTCATTTGCAGCAACCAGTTTCAAGTCATAGGCTCCCAGCAGACAACATTGTGCCGCCTTAAGTTGGGGAATCCCTTGACAAAACCAACGCACAGAGAAAAAGTCAAGAATTTCTGGAGCTTTCTTGTTCGTGGCAGAGTTCCTCTAAGCAGCCAAACTCATTATTTTAGCCAAGTGTAATTTTAAAACATTAAAATCATTGTAAATTTCCTGCTAGACGCCAGCCTTCAAGCAGTAAGTATCAGACATTTTGGGACTAAGAGTAAATGAATTTATGTGTATTTGTATTTGTTTTTATTTTGTTTGTATAGTTTTAGATATTGGTATTTTTTAATTTTATTAATACTAATCTCAATTATATAAATGTGTGTGTGTGCATTTAGATCTTTGATTAAAAATATGAAGAGCAGCATAGTACTCTGTAGGAAAAAAAATATTGATTTTGAGATTAACCAATCAATCATGGTATCTTAATTGTTATGAAGAAATAGATTTGTCATAGCATAATCTGTAGTACCCTTCATGGAATTAGATAGTGTAACTGATTCTGTTATTCGCAGTTTGGAAGTTGAATAGCCTGCAAGAGTAATGTGTCATATTAAAGAACATTATCTTTCTGTTTAAATGTGTTTTCCATGTCTATCATTTTTGGTAATTTTCCTGTTTTGACTAGATGGACTTATTTAGAATCTCATCCAGACATTTTGGATGATTCCAAGCACTGAACACTTGTAGGAATACATTATACAACTGCATACTGATTTGGCTTTGTATAAGTCAAGTATTTGCCAGTTGCTTATAATGTACAACAAGAAATGTCATGAAGAATCATAATTACCTCAGGAAGTGTTTACAAATTGAGATAATTGACTGAGAGAAACTGGAAAATACAGAGAAACACAAGTGCAGAACTCATGAAATCGTAATGACACGATTGCAAACAAACCATACCCCGACGGGGTGGAGTTTTGAGACTCTCTGACCGCGGGTTCAATCCCGGCTGGGGTATGGTTTACAAGTGCAGAAGAAAGACCAAGGATGGATAAAGCACTGTATTGGTTATATGTTAATATCTGTTTATGATTCCAGGGATCCTTACCCCTTACAATTTGATCTTAGACCAGGCTTCCTTAGTCAAAAAGAAGTACAGAATTATGAAAATGAGGACTAATAAGAAATACACAAGGAAGTAAAGGGAAGCGTCTACAAAATAGAGGTAGCTGTTTATCATTTTTACCTGCCATCTTGCATGTTTGTAAGACAGAAAGAAAAGATTAACAATTCTGTTACCATGGGTAGAATGGTCAATGTTGTTGGTCTGATAACCTTTAAATGTAATCAGGTAATTACTGGTACCTATTAAAGTGTGTAGTGATTGGGCACTAGCTCTTGGGTCCACCTGAATTTTGTATTTGCTTCTGAATTCTTGTATGGAGATGTAAAGAAGTTTGTTAGATTTTTAATTGACACAATCCAACATGTCCTGATGGGCACCAAATCACATACCATATTTAATTTATGCCATTTTTGTAGTATTTTTTATTTCAATAATAAACACAGGAAGAGCTAAGTTTGAGATGTTTATACTACAGTTAACCAACATCTGCTTTAGAATTCTAGCAAATAAAATGTTTGAGAGTGGTTTAGGAGTTCTATATGGTCATAGATATTATATAGTGTTTGTGTTAACTGTTAGAAGTCTGGTTTATCTTAAGAGTCAAGTAATGAATACAGTACTCTAAGACTATAGCTTATTTCTCTTACAGTAACATATGTACTGTGTACCTGTGATCACTTTTGACAGGTCTGCTTTTTGAAACTCAGCCTGAGACTCAACTATACTGTTGATTGCTTGGTCAACCAGGCTGTTGTTGCCTGTGGCCCACAGGCTTTAGTTATGCATATCTTATTTGTTGATTGTGTGTGTATAGTTTATAATAGGGCATTGCACGACTGACAGTTTCAAGGATTTAGTGTCAGGTAAAGATCAAAATAAATATTTATTAGGAAGATGTACCATTGTTTCCTCCAAGTTTTTACTATCAGGTGTCCCTGGTTTTATGCAGTAGATATGTTTCAGGTTGATGGCAGCTCTATTGAGCTCAGTCAGGTCATCAAGACAATTTTAAACATGAGAATATCCAGTTGCTTGCATAAACTGCACCGATTGCATAAGGTGAATGTACAGCACACCTCCAGATTGTTGAAGGATGTGGAACATCGCACAGTGGTGAATTCTCATATAACAAAACTGCATAAAGCAAGGGAAATTTTGCTTAATCTTTTACATAAATCTTTGTTATATAATCAGCAGACATACTAGTAATTTATTGTTCGGGTACACTTTTTTGAAATAAGTGTGGATACAGTACAAGAAATATTTGATAAAATAGTTTTAGCAATACTTTTTCATTGCTTTTGCTTGAAGGATTTGTGCATGTGGTTGTAGAATGAATATTGGGAGTGTATTTACTGAACTGTTTTGTAGAAGTACTTAAAACAATTGTCTACATGAAACAATTGTAAGCCTTTTCCTAGGACCTGAAGCATGACCTAGAAACATTTATAATTTTTTTATGTTTGAAATTAAACAAATTTGATTTAAGAAAATGTTATATTCATATGTAGACGTAATAATACATATATGGATGTTTGTCAGATAGTGCTGAAATGTAATGATGTGGTAGTATGTCACATTGTCACTCTAATACAGTGGACCCCCGGTTAACGATATTTTTTCACTCCAGAAGTATGTTCAGGTGCCAGTACTGACCGAATTTGTTCCCATAAGGAATATTGTGAAGTAGATTAGTCCATTTCAGACCCCCAAACATACACGTACAAATGCACTTACATAAATACACTTACATAATTGGTCGCATTCGGAGGTGATCGTTATGCGGGGGTCCACTGTATATGCCAAACCATTTTTAAAAGGAGGAAAAAATACTGCCAAATTATAATAGTATATATAGTGCAGTAATCTGATTTAGGTAGTGAGATGTATTTAAAATTTTGGCAGCTGTACTGAGGAAAGATGTGTAACTTAGCTGTGTTATGCACTTTGTGTTGCATCTTTACATTCCCTTTCACCATTGCTCAGAATAGGTAACATATTTCTTAATAATATATATAGCACAGTCACATGTAAATATTTAACAAAATTTGCATAAATCTTTAATATTCATGAACTTGCTGGTAGGGCAAGAGGCTCACAGATGAAGGTTGTGGGTTCTAATCCTCAGGCGAGATGAGGCATGTGAGCAAGTCTCCTTACACTTGATGCCCCCAGTTCATCTGGCAATCAACTTAAGCCATATTTTGGGGTAGAAGGCCTAAGGACACCAATAGAAATAGGGCACACATCTTGACTTTCTTTGGTTATCCTGGGTAATTTACCCTCTAGGGTTAAAAATTCGATAACATTCTTATACTGTATTGTTACTGTACCCTTTCAACATATGGACTACATTAAGCATTAATAAATATGTCAAGTCATGGTCATTGTTTGCAATTAATTGTATTATGAAGTCCATTTTACAAGTAGTTTGGGTTTTTTCCAATGCACTGGTCATCTCCCACCAAGGCAGAGTGACCTAAAAAGAAAAAAAAAAGTTTTTCTTGTTAGGTCACATGTAAAAAGAAAAAGAAAAGGTTTTCTTTTTACACGTATGGGAGATGGCCGACTTGTTGAAAAAAAAAAAAAAGTCAAAGTTGGTGCAATAAGATAGTTTTTGTTAAAAAAAAGTCAGAGTTGTGTCAGAGGCGGGACTTTCAGCGAGGTCATTTAGAGTGTGTGTTGGGGCGAGTTTAGGTACAAAAAGTAGTAGGCATGTATGCTACACTAAATTGAAGGCAGATTTAGATAAGTGAAGTTTTTCCTTTTTGATTATTGTTATGGATGCCTGAAAGAACCAGACAGCCCTGGGTTCTGCCTTTGTCTTCTAGCACTTCTTTTTTTGTGAATACTAATGTGGCCCTTCATAGGGGTGCCTTGATGCTGTTGAAAGACTCTTGGTCCAAGGAATTGGAGCTACCCTCTGATTAAACTTGATTGATTCATTTCCCAGGCTCTGCACAACACTTATGGGGATACTGCTTTCCCATATAATAATCATCTGGCATTGTCTTTAGGTAGAAATAACAAAGTTCAATATACCAGCTGCTTGATCTGTCCCTGCTTGAGTAAATATTGAAACTGAAAGCAGCTGTTCTAATCACTGACATTCTGTATGACCTTTGTTAATTGGTTTCAATCATATTAATGGTATACAACAATAACAAACTGATGAATAAGACACATTTGCAATGCTTAGGCAGTGTATTACCTTAAGCCCTGTTTATGTATCTTATTCATCATCTAGTTGGTTTTGAATTTGACATGGGTGATGAATGTTGCAGTGAGGAGAAGGCTGGAGGCAGTGGAGATGTCATGTCTGAGGGCAATGTGTAGTGTGAATATAATGCAGAGAATTCGTAGTTTGGAAGTTAGGAGGAGGTGCAGGATTGCCAAAACTGTTGTCCAGAGGGCTGAGGAAGGGTTGTTGAGGTGGTTCAGACGTGTAGAGAGAATGGAATGAAACAGAATGACTTCGAGAGTGTATAAATCTGTAGTGCAGTGGTTCCCAAACTTTTTCAGCTTGTTACCCAATTTAACATGCCACATAAAGCATGTTACCCCTTTCACAAAATGTTGTTATTATTGATATATATGGCTAAACGTGAACGTATACAGCCTCGCATACTCTGCTAATCCTAGCAAAACCATTGAAAACGTAAGAACCACACACACATTATATATAAAATTAATAATAGCTACAAATTCACAGTAACAGTGGTTAAATACTAACTATATACTGCACAGGGCAGTACACATACAAAACCACTTATGTCTACCTCGGCTGATGCTCACAGATAAATGACAGTGTGAAATAGAGGCGCCTCAGGAATGTGAGGGACGCGTACTGGGACAGGTCGATCTGGGGTACTGAGTGACTTTTGTCCTGAAGCATACTTGTCAAAATACTTTGGGTTTCCACACACTTGCTATATATTTCTTCTTTTCTAAACTGTAATATTAGTTTTTGATGTTTATTGTTATTTGGTTTAACTTTATTACTTACTTATAATAGGTTTACTTTACAACTTTATATACTAAGACAAAGTTAACAATAATCCTCATACCGGGTACCGCATTGTTTTCTTGATTTTCAGAATTCATAACTTTTTTTCTGTCACCCCTCCATTACCCCCCAAAAATGGTTAAATTACCCCCAGGGGGTAATTTACCCCCAGTTTGGGAACCACTGCTGTAGTGGAAGGAAGGCGGGGTTGGGGTTGGCCTAGGAAAGGTTGGAGGGAGGGGGTAAAGGAGGTTTTGTGTGCGAGGGGCTTGGACTTCCAGCAAGCATGCGTGAGCATATTTGATAAGACTGAATGGAGACAAATGGTTTTTAATACTTGACATGCTGTTGGAGTGTGAGCAAAGTAACATTTATGAAGGGATTCAGGGAAACTGGCAGGCCAGACTTGAGTCCTGGAGATGGGAAGTATAGTGTTTGCACTCTGAAGGAGGGGTGTTAATGTTGCAGTTTTATAAACTGTAGTGTAAAGCACCCCTCTGGCAAGACAGTGATGGAGTGAATGATGATGAAAGTTTTTCTTTTTTGGGCCACCCTGCCTTGGTGGGAATCGGCCGATGTGTTAATAAAAATATAAAAAATAAATTAGATTTGTGAATTAGACCTATGAAACTGTGTGACTGAAAATAAGTTTTTGATGTATGCACTTTTGCAGATTTTGAGTTATGATGCATGCAAACATTGATGACTTAACAATAAAGGTGCACAACACTGACAGGATGAGGAATTAGACCCATGTGCAACTTCTGGGTATCTCTATTGAAGACAGTCCAGAAGTCAGTGTTCAGAATTTTAGTCTTGACTGAGGTATTGAGCATCATCTTCCAGGCTGAGGGGCTGATTACCCCATCCTCTGTTGTCATTGTATATCACCTCTTATTGAACTGAAAAAGCCACTAGTAAGAGAAATATCTTCATATAAAGATACCCAGGTGTTGCACATGTCTAATTCCTCAGTATTTACATTAACAACAGTAACTGATTATTGCTAATTTCCATAACATTTAATAAATAGTATTGGTTATCTCTAGTTTGGAAGTTTTAGAGAAAATTTTGTAACTAGTTATTTTGTTTTTCCATATTTTGTATTGAGCCATAATATAAAGTATGTTAATTTTGTAGCATGGATGAGTACAGGTACTTGAAACAACAGTTATTTTTGTAAAGATTATCATTTGTAAATTCTGTGCAGTGTACATGACAAAGACTTCATATAGTAACCACCATAAACATGTATGAATATAGTAGACTAATTACACAAATAAGAATGCATGCCATAATACATACATTGTTTTAACAATGATTTACTGATATATTAATAGGTTACTCACCTAACCAAGTATTTTGTAGGATTGCTCTTCCTCTTGGTGCACTCCTTACAGCTCCTGGGCACTGATATAAGTCTATGTTATAGAGGATAGAAAAGTCAGTGCCCTCCCACATCTGCTCAATGGCATCTGAGAGTTTGGGGATAGAGGACACCTCAATGCTTATTAAGGTTCTACATGTTCTCTATCCAACTTGGGTTCAGTGAGTTACCAGGCCAGTCATTGAAGATTGATATATCACAGTCATGTAGCCATTTTTTTATGTCTTGCATATAAAAGTTGCCCTGGCACTTTTTGAGACTTGTGCAAAATGGGCCACTAAAAGAGTACTT